ACCATGATGTTCTTGATCTATTTTACTTACGCTAGTCCTGGGGATTGGAGACGTTTTAGTGAAGAACTGCTGACAAAACTGGCTAAGATGCCACCTGATCTAACCACCTCTCCTATCTCCCCAGTCATCACCCCCAATTTCTTGAAAGTGGAACAAGGTAGAGCTACATCCCAGTTAAGTGTTATCTTCTTGGGAGGCTGTTTGCTCTCCTTAGAAGAAGAGCAGAAAGCAGGGCCAGGGAAGGAATTCTCTCTAGCATGTCTGCTCCCAGTTCGCTGCTTTGCTTAGTTTTTCCTGCTTTACTCACTTTGCCTAGGTGAGTCCTGAGCTCAAATCAGGAAATTCTCAAAGGCAAATGTGATTTTTCCTCCTGTGAAGATGAGGTTTGCCTAAGCCTTCCCTCTGCATCCGTGGGGTTGCCTGCATGTTGGTTCATTCCTGAGCTGTATCATGATAAAAACTCGGGTTTTTATTTCACCTAATGCATTATGCTCCCCAGTGCCTCTCGTTAACCCAGCACTTCTGAGGACAAAGATAGTGATCAGATGGTCTTGTAGAGAAAGTGAGCAGTACAAATGACCTTTTTGTAGCCTGGAGTTGATTTCTGGAAACACACTTTTTGAAGGTAATTAAACTTAATAGATAATTCCTTATTAAAGCCAGAATGTTTCATTATATGAGATGGCTAATAAATGTTTGGCTTCTTTGTATGATTGTTTTATCGTTTTCCCTCCAAGATCCTCATATCTCTGCTCTTTCAAAAAGTCCCAGAACAAAGCAGTGGTTATAGTGCCTCTCTGTGACATTCTGGTGGCATGATATCTCCCCTAGTGGATGACTGTGAGGCCTAAAGATGCAGGGGGAACTGGGTACCAGAATTCTTTGTCAGAGTGCTTTTCCTGCTAGGATATGAGTGACTGGGAAGCACTCAAACAGTAGGCTTAAACACGGCAGGAATTTTAGATGAAGCCAGCTTCCCTGCGACAACTCTGCTACATCACTGACCTGAGGGCAGTGGGTCCAAAAACAAACTTACTTGCTTCAAAATGCCCACAAACTAAACATTATCTGGTGCAAACCCTCTTGCAAACACTGAACACTTAATACTTTTCAGTGCTGGGAAGGTGTGCATGACAAGTCCTCTTTCCAGTTATCTCAGGAACTTGTGAGACTTAGAAGGACTAATACTGTTTTTCATGCGAAGACCATGCACTAGGCTGCTTGGGCTCCAGTGTGTGTGATGAGGTTTCCCTTGGCCTGGACTCTACAGCCTCATCTATAGCCCCGGCGAAACACAGCTTTGGGAAGAGCACAGTGGGAGACCAGAGCATTTCGGTGAATATATATGTACCTAATTTGATTCATGAACCAATCTGTCTAATCCATAAAGTGGAACAAAGGTATTTTATGGGCAGTGACCAGACCAAAAATTTCTGTCATTTTAAATTAGAAAATAGACTTACTTACATTTATAGTAAGAGTTGATGAGCTTGAGAGGAAGTGTTCTGTGCTCACTCAGGATTACTGTTTGGGGTTAAAGCTCTTTAAAAGCACTTAAACTATTGTTTATATTTTAATTTTTATCTACCTTTGTGGGAACAAGTCAGATAGTTGTGGCCTTGGGAGGAAGACATGATGTCTGAGGGCAGGGGAGAAATGCTTGAAATTGTCAGGCTAAACAGAAAAGCAGCCTTGTTGGTTCTGCAAATGAATGCTCTCTCTCCATAGAGGACTTGCTTTCTGCTCTGCCTCCACGCTCAGCAGTGAGAACACCGTGTGCTGCTGCTGTCCTGCTCCGGGAGGCGTGGGCCGGGACCCTGTGGGCTCCGGGAAGTCACCGGCTGCTGTGCATGCGCATGTCCTCCCTGCTGGCCGTGCACCGCATCTTGTTTCCAAGGCTTCTCAGGTAGCCCCATGGTGGAGATTTCATTTTCAGGACCTCCCAAAGCTGTGTATCATTTGAAATTGTTCCATTTGAGGAAAAACTTTAAGAATAGCTCTGTGCTCTAGTCACCAAGAAAGAATGTCATGAGAAACCTAAGTGTTGAGACATAAACTACTGAACTGAGGAGTTGGGATTAAGTGTATGGCAATAGTTAGATCATAGTTATCATTTTTCCCACCATCAAAGAAAGGTTAAATAGTTTCCATAATGTGGAATGTGGACAAGGCTCCTACCCTTAATGTAGACTTAGATATGCCGTTGTTTGTCTCGGGCTATTTGTGGTGAATAAGCGGAGTATTTTTAAATGCTGTGGCAGCCTTGGAAAAACTGCAGGGCTTTAAAGTTGCTGACAAAATATTTCTTAAACAAATAAATCTGATTTAGGAATATCTAAACATGGACAAAGTACTTTTAAATCTGACATGTCACTGCAAGTGACTTTTTAAAGTGGTTGCTTAAAAACAACACTAACATGTCGAAAGGATTTGTAGCGCTTAGTTGTTCTGTTAAGACCTGCTTTTCCTAAAAGTACCTGAGAAAGGTTATTTTAGGTCTCAAAGGATCTTATGGTAGAAAACTTAAGGTCTGAACAGAACACTAAACTTTCTTGGCTCTAAGTAACTTCTCTAAAGTACATCATTCAAGTTTTACCTGACCACCTCTGTAGAGATGTTATGTGCAGGCGCGTCCTTCTGCAGAGGTTGGACTGTGTTCTGACCAGCTGCTGGATATGCTGGGGTGCCTAGGGCGTTAAGAGTCTGAAACTAAGTGGTGTTCACCATGTACCCAGGAAAGAAATTCTGAAGAGTTGGGAGAGCTTCTTCTCAGCCTAAACACCTTAAGTTTTTTGTTTTTTCTAAAAGAAAATTATAGTTTAACTTCCTTAATTATTAACAACAGAGAGAAACTCATGTTTTAACAAGTCCAGTTACAGCTACTCTGAGTAGCTAGCTGCCCATGGACCACTTACTCCCCAGCACTCTCTTCCAACAGGAATGAATAATATGCAGAGAAGCAACAGCTCTGCTCTGGGGCTCAGACTCATGGAATCCTAGATCTTTAAAATATATTTTGGTGGTCCTGAAGAAAGCTGGGACCAATAGTGGAATTCTTATTTCAGGAGTGTGCTTTTTCACTTCTCAGACTTTGGACCCACTGCCAGAGACTCATTTAGCTGAAAAGAAATTCTTAGGTTAAGATCTTATGTGAATAAAATGATACAAAATGGGTGGTAGCTTAAAGCAATGTGAGCTTGTTGGTCCTTACTCTAACAGGGAGAATATTTAAAGGTACTAAGTCAGCCAGATACTATCTGGCTTTGGGATCACTGAAGACATTGTCATACTGGGCAACATCTTCGTCTTGAATGAGAATAATTGGTATCTGGAGTCACCACATTTGCTACCATTTAAAATAGGAGCAGTATGTAATTGCTATCTGCAATAGCATATCTAACCTAATACTTTAAAAGCAGCTTCAATTCCTAATAGATAACAGATGCACATGCCTTGATGTGATGATGTAAAGCCATATATATTGAAAATGGTAAAGTAAAGTAATATGGCCTTGGCTAAGTTACTGAGCTGTGTTCCCTACCTACAAAATGACTTGGAAAAAAAGCCCCACCTTGTAGTCCTGTACCAAAATAGTTTACATTAAAAAACAGTCCCATTTAAGTGCTATAAATTTGGCCATTAATCACACTAGACTATGTTTCCTTTAAGAGAAAGTCAAATTGATATCACTTTGTCAAACCTAAACCCACCTGAACTAGCAGTCTATAGTTGTGCTAAGGAAGGGCTCAAAGTCAGTATTAGAAATATTATACTTTATTGATTCTAGAGCAGCTAATCTACCGTCCCGTGTTGACAAATAACAGTAAGAATGGAAGAAACATATGAAGGTTAAAGTGAGCGTCTACACCACTGTGGAAAATGTTGTAACAAGGTTCACTGTTCTGAAGAGGCAGTTATAATACCTTAAAGTGTACAGTAATGATCCATTCTTGTTCCAAGCAACAAGAAGTGATTTCACTTGGGAGTCTGAAGTGAATTTATTCATACTGATTGTGCCCACTGTTTTCGTAAATGGTTCTGACTCACAAAAAAGCCCTCTTCCCACCCTCTAATGCTTGTTTAAAAGACAAAGAGGATAGGGAAGGCTGGAATGGGGTGGCAGGAGCTACCTGTAAGGCCCACGTTAATTAATTTTACTCACTATGGTAAAGAAGGAAGCTCTGTTCTTTTCGGGCGGCTCACTCCTTTGTCCTCTTTCAGCTAAATTCTTTCCACAGATTTACCTCAGATGGGAAAAAGACCATTTTGGGGGAAAAAAAATTTTTTTTTTTTTAAATTTTTGCTTATCTAAAAACTGTTAATGTGGATGAAGACTTTTGCCTCAAAATGCAATCACTACAGTCCATTCCAGCCCAGTCCTACAGCAAGTAGAGTACACTCCTGCAAAGCCACTGACAGCAGCCTTACCAGAGTCATGGAAAACCTGAAAGCTTGTAAAGAAAAACTCTGACCTTAACAAAAGACTACATTTGATAATGGAAATAATATATTTCTCCACTGATATACAATACTTATGTAATGCACTGAAAAAGATGGGATTTTGGAGTAAGAGCACAATTTGTACCATAACATTTTTGGCTCACATCTTCCCATTGGCGTCCTTGCTCCACTCTGAGGCCCTTCACCACCCTTAGTGTATCTGGATAATTACACTGCCATACACCGATGATGAAACAAGACAAGGAAACCACGTCACAAGCCACGATGGAGCCCATCGCATGCAGTTCAGCCCAGCTTTACCCTTACTTTCCTCCAATACAGACTCCAATTTTGAACCATCTGCAAAGAGTGCAGACACACAAAACTAAAACAAGTATCTCCCTATGATTAGAATATTTTAGTCTTCAGAAACTTTCCAGATGTACCTTTGATGGAGCCCCCCCACCACCCCCCACTAGGACCCACACAGGGACACCCTTTGCTCCTGTGAGTCCTGCCAGAACTTGTCTAATGGGTGCTCAGCGTCGGCGTCTTCGTCCTCACTCCTCCTCTTCTTCCTCCTCCTCATCATCATCTTCGTCATGGCAGTGTGTAATTTCCTGGGGGGCCAGTGGGAAGAGATTGGGGGGCTTAATCTCACTAATTGACCGTGTCAGTTGGTGCCGCTTGTAGTCGGTATCTTTGAAATCCACTGATGTGCGGTTCCGGGTGGCGAGCGGGGACTCCATCTCATTGATATCTACATGTATGTGTTCCACTGTTGACTCATGAGGCATCTACAACAAAACCAGAAGTTCAGAAAGCAGGTGGAATAGACACAGCTGTCTCCTAGGTCCTAAGCCCTCTGCCTGTGTTAGATGGCCACATGGTAACTCCCAAAATGGACCAGAGGCCAAGTCAATTCAGTTAAAGTATCTTCTTAGAACTTCCTAAAGCTCCCTATCCTCTTTTCTCTCCCAAACCTTCAGAACTGTGCCCAGATCAGATACTATAGTCTAAAACTGGTAAGATGGGAGAGAAATTACTATTTCACAGCTAAAAAGTCTTGAAATCTAGATGAGTATTATTAACAGAATACAGGAATATAAAATTACACTTCTCTCATTTAGTACTAAATAGAGGAAAGCCTTCACCATCCAAACAACTTCTAAATCTCATAGTTTCAGAGTAAAGTTAAGCTCTGTAACAGTCTATCTTGATTGTTCTTTCTCAGACTCCTTTTTGTGCAACCATGTAACCTGGCCATGAGCTCTGCACATTAGAAAGAAATGATCTAAACTTTCCTGTGCCATGCAGATAGCCAGTTGCAGAACTTGGCCTTAACAGTGTATCTTAACTGTAAATAATGGCCTTGGGCTATATTAACTCACCAAGACATGGGCAGCTCTGAAGAGGTAGCTGAATGGATAATACAGCAGGTTGATGAACGATGCTGCATAGAGATCAGCATAGCGCATCACCTGACTGGCAAAGAGGGTCTGCCGGGAGCCACTGCGGAATAGGCTCCCCATCATCCCGTAGCACATGTCCATGTCGTGAGTTACTTTCTAAAACAGAGCACAAGGTTAACGCTCAGCTCATTCAGCAGACATTTACTGAACACTGGCTATGTGCCACTTCTTGTATAAAATCAGAAACAGAGAAATCATTTCAAGTTTATTCTCCAAGTTTTTTCCCAAATCCCATTTGGTGGATACCTTAATACGTCTCTGGATGGAGCTGATATCTGGGCGCTCATTGCTGCTGCTGTCAAGGTGCCTGGAGACAAGAAAAATTAGTGAAAATCTCTAGAAAGGATGTCTCGTATATCTAGGTGACTCCTGAAGAGGTAGATGGTTTTTAGGGAAGAAATTTTTGATATGAGGAAACTTACTTGTAGAGTTCAGCCAAGAAAATATCCAAGCTCTGAAGCTCTTCGAAAAGTGCTAAAGTTTGGAAGAAAAAGGAAAATGTTTTAAGTAAATAAAAAAGCATCTAGTTTTTGTTACTAAAAACTAAATTAAAAGGTTTCAGATATGGCTGAAGAGTCAAGCTGTAGGTGAGTGTATAAAATGACTTCCCTCACCTTCAGGAAAACCCACTAACACTGCTTGGAACCTGGCAGCACATGACACCAGAATTTCCTCCTCAACTGACCTTCCTCCTCCTCAAATCCACCAACTATACAACTTTCCCAACTGGATGCGACTCTGAGCTTGCTGCTAAGTCCTGGCAGTCGTGTCCGACTCTGTGGCAGCCCACCAGGCCCCCGCCCCTGGGGTTCCCCAGGCCCGAGCGCTGCAGTGGGCTGCCACTGCCTTCTCCACTCTGAGCTTAGCAAGTGCCGCTTCGTGCCCGTCTCGGGCACGTCGGCAGAGCACGTTAGCAGTTTCCCTTTTGGATAAAAGAAAGAGTCACAAGTTCAGAAAACAGAACCCAATCAACTAAATTTCTGAAGTTAATTGTTAGTGAGTGTTAGTCACTCGGTCGTGTCCGAATCTCTGTGACCCCGTGGACTGGAGCCTGCCAGGTTCCTCTGTTCATGGGATTTTCCAGGCAAGAATACTGGAGTGGGTTGCCATGGCTAGCCAGAAAGTCCCACCAAGAACTACAAGCAGTAGCAACAGCAAAATATGTTGTAAACATTCCAGCCTTTCTCAGCCTGGGTTCCCCAAAGAGAATTAAGCGGTGACACAATCACTGTATGTAACGAATAACGAATATTCTTAATCTACCATCTGTGAGAGAACTGAGAGTCATATCAAATCATCTTTGTTTTGCAGTTCAAACGAGGAGTCTCAGTTGAAAAAGGTTGTACTTCTATCTCCTTTATAAACACACTGCCTCAGTTAAGTCCCAGCAACTTTATGATAGTAGGTATTATCTTCATTTTCACATCTGAGGATACTAGGGCACAGGGTGTCTCAGCATCTGCCTAAGGGCATGAAGATATTAAGTGGTAGAGCCAGGGTTACTACCTGAGGCAGGCTGAGTTTTCAGAGCAGTAACATTTTATATTTTAAAAGAATTCAAGAAAAAGGGAAAACAAGATAACCTCTCCAAATTCTGGACTTGTGTGAAATATGTGGCTATATGAGAAGGAGGTGCTCAAATATTAGGACCTGCCTCTGACTCCCTGCATACAAAGTAATGGTTCATCAAAGAGGACTGATTCATAGCTAGCCATTAAGATATAAACTAGCAATAGAAAAGATTATAAAGTAAGAACAATGGTTCCTTACAACTCTTATCGGTCCAGACATGCAGTTCCTGTGCGAGTTCAGGAATCACCAAGAAAGTTCGCCACCCTTGCCGTTTCTTTGATTTTAAAATGTCCCCAAAAATGTGATCTCCAATATACAAAATGTCTTTGCCCTTGGCTCCCAACAGATCACAAATTGTATCAGATGAACCTGAAACAATGCAATGAGAAAATAAAAACCAGCATTCCAAGTACTATAACCATTAAATAGTATATAGATTAATTTTATTCTTTTAAGTATGTGAGGAATAGACTGGAAAAAGGGCTCACCTTTCTTAAGACAAAGACTCACCATTGTCTTTTTTCATCATTCTTTTTACTGCCTCTATGACAAGGCCTTTAGCTCCACTGTGCTGACCAGAGCTCTCGATCCCCAAATCCAAGAGCAACAAAACCACGTCTCAGCTTGAGGGACCATAACCCTCCAAAGCACCACTACCATTTCTCCTCACAGGTCTGCCATTAGGTTGGCTTTGTTCAACTGCTTCTCATTCCAATAAAATATGCATCTATGTCTGTAGAGACTCCTAAAACCCCTTTGAGGCCTTGGGAACCATCCACGTGATTCCAACACTGAGAAAATGCCTCAAATATGCAGAGGAGGAGGACAGGAAAAACTGGTCCTTTTAGTGAAAATCAAAGATTCATTAGGACATGCTGACAACTTCTCAAACCCATCCTCCCAACTCTTCAGTAGGTGACTGAAGTGTTTACCTTCAGGAGACGCTATTTTTAGAATACTAAAGAACATAAGAAGCATGGTGTCAGGAGGACACCAAAGCTTTCACAGTGAGATTCAAGCACAGACTTACATAAAGGAAAGTGCGTGACTCACCCCCAGAGTAGACAATGCCATGCTGTAAGGGGCCCGTGTAGGTACCAATTTTCAGCTTGCCAGTTTTCTGTGAGAAAAGAATTTGGATTTTGTAAAGTTATCACAATCTCCACCAAAAATGCTACTTGGCTAGGCAGCCAAATGAATGTCACTTTTGAATTATATTCATTTGAATTATTCAGCTATATTAATTGAGACCAAAACTCTTAACTTCAAAAGAGGAGATAAGGCTAGTAAGTTAAAAATACCTGTTTCCTGGGGGAAGAATAGGAGGGGGGGAAGGGGGAACATGAAGGATAATTGCTCGTGGACAGACCATCTTCTCAACTTACAGTATCCACCTGACGCAGTACTGTGCCTTCTCCAAAGAACAGTGGTTTCCGTGCGTCCACCAAGATCAGGTCAAAGTAGGACTGCCACGGCCGATGAGAGCTCCCAGGCTGATAAGGAAGAAAGCAAAAGCCAAAACATCACTCCTAATCTAAAAGCACTTCTGTTTCATCTCAAGTCGGATGAAAGCAATATAGAAATACTAAGTAAAACCAGAAAATGCCACTGTTAAAAACATATTGTGGCTTATTATAAGGCACATCCTTTTGAAAGCAGGCAAAGTGAAAATATAAACAATGACTCTAATAATCTTTGTATTTTAAATTGCTTCACCTACTTACTAATTTATTTCAAGCAATTTAATGTATGAAAGAGTGTGCTCATACTCTAAAAATGGGCCTAAGAGGCTCACAGGGGCTAAGGAGAGATGCAAAAAGACAAATATGTAAGAGACGGACTAAGAAAGAGGCAGTTTAGCATCTGAACTGAAGTATATAGCTAACACAGAACTATTATTAGCAAATTTTATGGGTTATGCTTTCAGAATGGTGGTTCCAGGTACACACTGGTCTTTGGCTCATACTGCAGGCTAATCAGCACTAATGTGGAAGGTATGCCCATCAACATTACTTCATCTTGAATTGGAACCATGGCTTTTAACCTTTTAAGATCAAGACAAAGAGCACTAAATACTGTGCTTTGGGGTGATCTCAAAAGTCATTAACTAACATTTATTCAGAGAAACCTAGTGACTAAACCTGGGTCTCCTGCATCACAGGCACATTCTTTACCATTTGAGCCACCAGGGAAGCCCCCTAAATTATGATTAGTATTCATTAAATCTAAGACCATACAGAAGGAGTGACGACTTCTCTGCTAAGTATCAAAGTTAGCTGTTCTTTTGACACAAAACTCAGCAATTACTAACAGCAGAATATAGAAGTTGTTAAGAATATATACATTTTCTGTTTCTTTTAATAAGATTATCTCCTTCAACCTGAAAATTCCTTTCTGCCACACAAATTTAGCAATTCTGTATAAAACTTCTTGGGCATAAAATTCTCATCCCATCCTACTAAATACCACATGAATCTCTTATTTCTGTCTACCAAGTTTTCAAACTGCTAGCAACTTTTTAAATTATACTAGCTCCTGCATTACTTCTAATATTAATGAAGATTTCTGGATGGCTCCTGACCAATTCCTTACGCTCAATATTCCAGAATATTAAATGCATTCATTATTGCTAAATCAACAGTCTGTTATATTACAGAGAGTACCTTGGGGCCATGTGGGAAATCAAACAGGTAAGTCATAATTTTCTGGAAAAAAGAAAATCCAACATAAGATCCATTTACTATTTCTGCAAGAGATATAGGACACCTAAGTAAAGCACACACAGCTGTTTATAAGACATGTCTTTTTCAATACAAGATTCATTACATTCTTGTTTCCTCTAAAGTTTATGAAATCATGGGAGTTGAAGATAGAAATTAATGCTTCATCACAGCAAACAAATGCAAGCTTCTGACATTCTCAGTAGAACACAGGGTTCTTCTAGGAGATATTTTTATACAGATTTATCCATATATTCCTATCAAGTTCTCTGAGTGGACCAGAACACGTATTTGGAGGGAAGGGGTATCTGCGATAAGGGTGTAGAGACAACTGATGACTCACATGGAAATAACACACCGTGGCCCTCTTACTACTGTTCCCAGGACAATCAAGCCAACTTATTCCAAATCACCAGATTTCTAAATCAGCATTTTACATAAAGAGGGTTAGCAAGCACTAAGCTTGCTAGGACTATGAACTTGTAACCAGCTTAGCAAAAGTAACATGAGGTTAAGGAATTAAATCAGCTTTTCTATATGCTTTAATCATGGCAAAAATTTTAAGAGGTAGTAAATTTTGATGGCTAAGAGTCAAAACATCTTTTTACCATCTATTGCTGTCTGGCTCCCAACAGCAGGGAGGGAACGTATTACACATGTAATAAAAGGCCTAACTTTTCAAGTTGCAGAACGACACACAAAGACACAGAAGACACTGTAATCAGCACAAATGTTTTAAATAACCCCCAAAATGAAAACATTTAAGCAGCCAATTATAATCAGGAAAAATTGTCCAAAGAAATGTTCATAAAAATTTGAGAACCACTTTGAGGTGTGCCATTTATTTTTGCTTTTTTCATTCTGCTTTCAAAATGAAATGGCAAAAAACTACTCTCACTTAATAAACTACCTTCTTCTTTATATTCACAGTTCTTTAGTCCAATATAATTCCTTTGTATAAAGAAACAAATATATTAAGCACTTACATCTGTATATTTATAGTCACTGTTGGTGGCAAGAAATACTTTTCCTACTTCCTTCATCCGGCTCAGAAGCAAAGGCAGTTTTCCCTGAAATGTAATGATGATGATGAGCGGAACAGTAAAACACACAGATCTTCTTCCACATGTGATGGGGTTATGTCCCAATAATACATGGAACATGGCAGCCAGCCTAGTCTACCTAAAATGTGCTAAGAACATACATTAGCCTACAGTTGGGCAAAATCATCTAACACAAAGTCTACTGTAACTTATAGAACACTATACTTAAAGTGAAAAGCAGAATGGATGTATCAGTTGTTTACCCTTGTGATCTCTTGGCTGACTAGGAGCTACTGCTCGCTGCTGCTGCCCAGTATCTCAGGAGTATCAGAGGGCATATCACTAGGCCAGGAAAAGATTCAAAATTCAACACACAGTTTATACTGAAATGTATCACCAAATATATATATATGGTTCCTGTGAAAGTGAATACATATACATATATATTCACTTACACTGTGGAGTGGTCAGATACAGGACTTTTTTTTGTCTACTGAAACAGGAACAGGTGATGCCCTTTAAGGGTGGGTTGGTTGGTTTCAGAATTTTGCATTTAGAAGACCACATTGTCATTGTGCATGAATTATTATATATGCAGAATATATATGGTATATATAATAGACATATATAAAATATATAATTATATGCCTATTAAAAACATAACTCTAACCTCCTCTTTATGTCTATCTCAGGAAAGAGTTTAAATTACCTTGTAATCTCTTAAAGTAAGTGAATTAAGTGTGTTATAGATTAGGAGAAGCCAATTTTAGAGATCAGCTAGATACTCTATGGAGAGTATTAGATATGGTCTCAGTGTGTACACTTTCATTTTATGAAATACCTTGCAGAAATGGCATGATGTGTATAGAATGCAACTTGAAAGTACCCGGACTCATCTGTAGCTACATGAGGAAATTCTGACTCCTGATGTGACCAGAAAGAAAACAGCCTTTCCTTCTCTCACAGTGAATAGGTCCCTTCACTCAAATCCTCTTGCACCTCTCCTGAACCCCTCAATGTTCTTTCTTGAAACAACAATCATGGACATGGGAATGGATGGGAGATAGGAGGTACAAAGTCTGGAAATAAGACATCTTTACCAAAGAACTTTGAGGGAATAATTGCATCTACTACTTTTACTCTGTAAGAAAGGAAGAAGTTATCTCATCTCAGTGCTCTGTGTGTGTCTGTGTATTTTTTATTTTGAAATAATTTCAGACTTAACAGAAAAGTTGTAAAAATAGTACAGAGGGTCCCCATGTATTCGTCATCCAGCTTCCCTTAATCTTAACCCCAGTACAATGATCAAAACTAAGAAATTGACACAATGCTATTAACTGTAGACATTTAAAATTTTTATTATGTTTACCACTAACGTCTTTTGAGGTATTTTAAAGCTTTCATCATTATTCCCAGTTGACAGGTTAAAGACAATTTAAATAACAGTCACACATGTACATTTTTTTAGATGATCTAGCACCACGGTTATGATTCAGAGTACACTGAGGTGTGACTTTTGGCTTTCTACTTACTAACTGTATGAACTTGGAAAAGTTACTTAATCCTGAGTCCCCAGTTTCTTCATCTCTAAAGCAGAGGTAAGAAAAACTAACTCAGGGTTTTATGGAAGGTTAAATGGGATAATAAATGTAAACACTTAGCACAGTGATATGTACACAGTAACCACTCTAGCTGCTATTACTATAATTAGAGCTAAAAGGATAAATGAAATACTGGTCCTCTTTGCCTAATAAAAAACAGGAAAAACAAACCTCATGCTCCAGCTGAGAATGCTTGTTGATTATACTTGGCATGTGTTAAAGTGCCAGGACAAAGAAATATCTTCTCTTGTCCATTTCATTATAAATAAGCTTGCTAATTTCCCTAATAGGTAAAGCAAACTATCATGCAGATCTACTTTTCCCTTTACTACTTACATCTTTGACTACATACTTCTCAAGATTTTCAACTGTCTTTTCCTTAAGGGAACCCTAGAGAAAGAAAGAAAAAGAAAGCAAGAAAATAACAAAATCAATTTTTAAGTTTATTATAAAAACCATGTCTACTATTAGCTTAAATGCATTTCTAAATATTTCCAAAATTAAAATGGCAGATGTGATTTGCTGCAATTCTGCCTCCAAAATGTATTTAAAATAGAAATCAAAAGGCATTTCATATTTAATTCAGCACAATTTATAATAAATGTAAACATAATATTATTAATCAGTTAATGTTATCAGCCAAGCAGGAGGTATTTGGAAAAAACAAATGGACCATAAGCATCCTAAAAGGATATGGTAAGTATAACCCTAACACTAAAATCTCTTCTAGTAAGTCTGGAAAATGCAAACTGAAATAAAATCTAGAAGCCAAGCACCACCACTGAGGAAAGACCAGCATTACCTCTGTAAGCCAGACAGCCAAAGACAAGGACAAAGTATTCTAGAGAGCTATCACTAGAGGCAAATCCCCCTTTTTTAACAGGTGAAAAACTCTGCCTTGTTTGCACTTGGAAAGTTAATGTCAGACCATAAAAGACACATGCCAGGCAGTAAGCAGGTGAAGAAGCAGCTCCTAGGTACCTTGTAATGAACCCAGTCAACTGCGTCTCTTACATCCTGGAACATACTCCGGTAAGACATGAAGAGGTCCCCATCTTTAAATCCTGTTTCGCAGCTACAGAAAGATGGAAAGAACATGACAGGGAATCCAAAGGAGGGTAAATAAAGGGAATACCAAACACTGCCCAGGGGACCCAAAGGTTCCTTTGTCACATAATAAAGGCTGTGTGGCTAATTCGGAAAATAATCACTCCCTAATGAAAATCCATTCTGACCATCAGAGATGACTACAGTGTTCAACGGAATATAGTAACTGTGAACAGATACAAAATGGTAGAAGAGTATGATGGAGGCTAAAAGTCTAGTTCCAAAAATAACAGGTTGTTTTATTCATCACTTGTAAGAAACAGGTTCCCATCAAAGAAACATTTAAAATTGGTAATTTAGGTTCTCGCCACCCTGACTTTTCTGACACTGTTTCTAAGGTATGGTCTATTTTTTATTTATCTTAGTGACTTAGTGCTCAACCAAATTTAGTGCCTTGAAATGGGTAAGGCCTAAAGAGGATAAGAAGTTAGCAAACTCTGGCACATATGGCCGAACTTAACAATTCCCCCTAGAAAGGAAAGGATATCTTTTTCAAGACTTAAGCACATTTTTACTTGAGGGAGGATAAACAGTATCTTCCTCAATCAAATCTTGCTGGGCCTGGGAATGAAACGAAATTACTATCCCTGAATGGCTCCTGGGTAGCTGCTGTGAAATGAGTTGGGGGGTTTTAGTGCAATTCTGCTTGGACAGATAATCATCACACAAACCTCCCACTCAGTTGTCACAATTAGCACCTCTGCTGGCCGTCTTCATTCCCAGGAGAAGCCAATCAGAAGTGGTCCCTTCCAAACATGGCTGCAGCACACTGGCAAGGAGAGGGCCGTGTGGGAGGTGAGGGCCTGCATGGAGCTGCTGGTGCTGTCCCATCTCTCAGGCTGGCACTGTGGCATCTCTCACTAGCACTAAATTCACTTCAGAAAAGCAGAAAAGACCTACAATGGCCAGTTCTCTAAAACCCTGTACATTAATTTTAAAAAATCAATTGGAAAAAGAAAATTATAGTACACACATACCTGGTATATCTGGGACAATTAGTAAAAAAATCTACTAGGCAGGCCAACAGGTAGGTCTCTGAAAAATGAAGAATAGATATTCATAAGCTGTAAGTGAGATAACTAAAATCTGTTTATCTCCCTTGAGCAAAGACAAATGATCACAGAAAGAAGGGGAGACATCAGTATATGTAAGCATAGAATGAGTCTACCTGGTAGGTTGAATAGTGTGTTCAGAATGTAAAATCTTTCAGTGTCATCTCGTTGAATAAATTTATTTGGATACTGCTCTCTAGTTTCTGGTCTGAAAGAAAAAAAAATTAACCGACATTCAAAAATAATATAACTCTGAGATGTATTCATCATTCAAAAATTAATTCAAATATTTTGGTGGCTATATGCAAGGTGGGGTTCCAAATAATACACATGAGAAACTCTGAAAATGAAGAGGCTCACTCACTGTTTCAGCCCCTAAAACATTCTCAGTCTGGCTAAAGGAGGGAGTCACACACACAGACAATTGTGAAGGTCCAAAACAGAACTGCCACAAGAAAGGTGCAAAAAGCTATAACAAAACAGAGGAAGGGGAGAGAGACCATTTCAACTTAATGGGTAGAGAAAACGTAATGTAGAGAGGAAAATCTAGGAAGAATCCATGAAAGTCATGGCATATAAGCTGATCCTTAAAAGTTAAAACAGCCCAATCCAGAAACTAGTCAAATTCAAGTAGAGAAAGGGGAACAGAAATACAAAGCTAGAAAGATGAATTGAGGCAATCATGCTATTGTTTTTATATATTTTTCATCTGAGCTAAACTGTAAAAGTATTAAATTAGTAGGAGTATTAGGGTAAAATGGAAAAAGAAATGTGATGTGTTGCAAAAAACGGCTACAGATCTTTCCTATCCCTTAGTAATGTGACTCTGCAGTTCCTCCAATTAAGAGGCACAGTCTCTCTCTCTCTATCCCTGAATACAGGCTTGAGTAACAGAAAATGGGATCCAAGAAGACTTGGAAAACACTTGTGCATTAGGGCCAGTGTACTGCTGGAGAGTAAAAGGCCCCATGCAGAAATGAGGTGCCCCCGCCAACAGGCTGCCCACTGTCAGACATGTGCATGAGGCCATTCTCGATCAGCTAAGCAATTCCAGAATTGCTCAGCTGACTCAGAATTTTGAGCTAAATCAAATGGCTACTGGTTTAAGGCACTAAGTTTTATTTATTATACAGCAAGAACTGACCCCAGTCCATGGGGTCGCAAAGAGTCGCACATGACTGAGCGGCTGAACTGAAGAACTGACTGACACAGACACAGAGGCCTGGGAAATCAGTTAGGGCTTCCTGCAGGAGTCCAGTTGAAAGCATGAGGGGCATGGGCATGTCCTAGAGTGGGCGCAAAGGAAATTAAAGAGAAGAACTACTCAGGAGGGATTGCCAAGGTAAAAAGAACAGGCAATTGAACAGATGTGGTAGGCGAGGGACATGGAGCCGAAGATGATAATTCTCACACTAAGGTGTCTCTGAGAGGGTGGTGGTAATATTAACTGAAACATAAAAACTAGATAAAATACAAGAGGAGTTTTATTTTGGATATGTTAATCTAAAAGTGAACATTTTTATAGGCAATTAGAAACAAAGGTCAAGAACTTAAAACAGAGATTCCAATTTGAGAGGTTGCTGGGATCATCTACACACAGGTTAACAGAAGCAGTCAGGTAGACTATTAGAGCAGAAGAGGCCACTTCAGAGCATAGAGAAAGAAGAGAAGACTGTGGCGAGGTCCACAGAGGACATTCAGAGTTTAAAAGAAAAAGCCAGTGAAACAAACAGGAATTGTTAAAGATGCATGAGAACCTTGAAGAGTGAAATGAAAGACTGCAAGAAGAGGAAGGAGATAGCATTAATTACTACAGAGAAAATAAAAAGGAGAAAAACGAAAATATAAAAATGAACAGTCCTCACAATGAATATATGAAGATTAACTAATTTAAATAAAGGACACCAAATTTAAATTTCACACTCAAGATAACTTGGGTAATGTTTGTTAACTACAAATGTCATAAACTCTACTTAGGAATATAAAATCACATTAGTTCCCTGTCCTAGCCAGCATTCTGAAACAAGAGTTCCCAATGAAGAATAACTTTGTGGAATATCATATCTTCTAGCCTTCCAAGATTTTCTGTAATGAAAATTAAAGCAGAAAGAAATAGTAATGATATACTTTCCTCAGTCAGGTTTAGTAAGATGACATTGTCCTCTTGAATATCTTTTCCTATTCCCTTCATCATTTAAGAGTAATTCCTTTACATAAGGAAAGTTAATCATTATGCAATTAGAACCCAAACTGACTTATAAATACAGTTAGCCATTACATTTTGTTTAAGTGTCATGTCATGCTAGTATACATTTAAAATGAAAACTGATTCACGGAGAGGTAATATATTTTATAAGAAGGGATGCTAGACTTAGGAAGAAAACAGAATTCAGTACTGCTAACTATCTGTGACCCACAGAATAAAGATTTGATCTCAACATTATTCTAACCTAAAACTTTAAAAGCCTTTACTATTGCCTGAAAAGAGGTTCCAACTCACAGGCAAGGCATGTAAGGTGATGCTTGGTGGAGCCATAAGTTTTCTTCCAACTTTGTTTACCACTATATTTCAATAATTATCTCCGTTGCCCTCTATCTTCATTCTGGCCTTCTCCGTGGGCTTTCTAAAGACTGTACAGTGCTAAGTACTGTTTGAATGATTCTGCATGTAACACATAAATGATTTATTTCTGAAACAATATTAAATATATTTCCAAAGAAACTATTTGGAAACTTTATTGGCTTCTTTGGGGGAAGAAAGGAGGTCTATAGATCTTGAGTTAGTAAATCTAATTGTAATTATAACATATGGAACTGCTTCTCTTTCTTTTCTTCTCTATCTCCCACCCAATAACACAAAAATCCCTCTTCAGGAATTCATAAATAGAACCTTGGTTCATCATCATTGGGATTCTGAATTATAGTGACAATATCCATACATAAAAGAGTCTGGGTTTCTAGTACTATCTGCAGTCACTTCACCTTCTAAATCCCACCTTTTGATATTCATGAACTTGAACAAATCCCTCAGAAAGAAAGGTAGATATAACTACTGGTCTAATCAGATGTGTCAAGTAGGGTGTTTATTTCAAACTGTTCCCATAGTATATACCTGGAAATCACTGAGTCTGTGTAATGCCAGCTGAAGACTTAACAGATGATTCAATTCCAAATAGGGCATGACGGTTACCTCAGATTTAAAGGAAACTCTGGTACAGTTTCAGTTAGTGTCTCTTATCACAAAAAAGTATTTACCAAAAAGACACTGTTTATTTAACAAATTTCAATGTAGACTGTGTAGTTTTTACTGCTTTGCTATTGAAAATAAATAATAGACTGATACTTAACCCATATTGGTTTTAAGAGTTGTTCTGACCCTAATAGTGTCAGTGGTAAAGTAAGTGGTATAATAGTAGAGAAAACGTATAATTGTAAAGCCATAATTACAGAAATTGTCAAACTGGGGTATTGTGATTTTTAAAGAAAAAATTTGAGATGTTTCAAAAAAGATACTAGACATTAAATTTTATCTGCTGTTTATTACTAGGGTGGAGAGTTCAAATTAGGTAAGAATAGAGGAAATATGCTAATTATGAAAATAAAACTTATCCTTATTTGTTTCAAATAGTATCACTCTGTATTCATTTTAACCCCATGTTTAAAAAAATTTAACCACATGATCAAATACCTGAAGGTATACATTAGAATATAAAAATAATATATTAGCTGTTAAAATCTTAGTCATTTACATCACTGTAGCTTTAAACTTTTCAAAGTACTTTATGTACATACCTCTTCTGAGCAGCTACCTGAGAACTGTATTAAAAAGGAGAAAATAAAAATCTTAGAATTTCAAATAAGTCAAAGCCACTACAGTTTTTTGGCAAGTTTCAAGATTAGCTTTGTTGGATGCTATATAATTTTAGAAGGCGCTTAATTTAAACAAAATGTAACTGCTAACTATATTTATACATCAGTTTGGGTCCTAGCTGTCTAAAAAATAATTGTTAAGTATTCTTATGTAAAGGAATTGCTCTTTAATAATGAGGAAATAAGAAAGTATATTATACTGGGGAAGATAATGTCATCTTCATATTGTTTGACTATAAAAACACTAGAAAGAGGCTAAAGGTTCTTTGTACTCACCCCCTTATGAAGTTAAATCCATGTGCACAGACCAAGAGGTTTCCATAGGCATCAACTTTCAAAAGATTTCCATACAGTGTATCAAATACTAGTCCCCTATGTGAAAATGAAGATATCACCAATCACACAAAGTAATAATGGCAAGGATCTAATGTAGTATTTACTCAATTACCACAAACCAACCTTCACCTTATTCAAGTTTTATGGTGGCTCATGTATGTGCCCAAAAATACAACCCCAGAGGGTAAAGTGAGTGAATAAAATCTTAAAAACGAATCCGAGAGCAACTAACAAATACTTAATTCTGTCCAGATGAATAATCACAATTGTTTTGTGTGAGAGAACTTAATCAAACAAGGTGTAAACAAAAATTTCTCTGAATACAGCTGGTTCTTTTCTAAAACAGAGCTTCTTTCTATTCTCTTAGACAACTGAGTTGGCTTCTATTTCCCTCTATTAGACATTTCTCGCGCCGCCTGAGGTGGCCTGTGGTTCCCCTTGGATGGAAGTGCATTCCGCTGCCCAGTGAGAAGTGAAGAATTCTTCCCAAGCCCGCCTATCCAGTCCATCTGTCCGGTCCATCGTATCTCGCCCCGGGACTTTTGTGAGAAATGTTGTGAGCCTGGCGGGCCACAGTCCATGGGGTTGCAAAGAGCCAGACACAACTGAGCAGCTAAGCACACATGGGACACACACGATGGCATCTCAAAATAAGCCTCATCTTAACCTCAAATCTTTCTTATCAAATCCAGAAATGGAAACTGCCAAGAAGGCTCCTGATTACCAAGTTGAATACATTAGCAGAACAAAATATATTAGCAAAGCTCCCAACAACGTAAGGGAGGAGCATCTGCAATTACTGACCATCAGTTTTAATAATCCCTCTTCTCATAAATTTGTTGTTGTTGTTTAGTTACTGAGTTCAACTCTTTTGCAACCCCATGGACTACAGCCCACCAGGCTCCTCTGCTCATGAGATTTTCAGGCAAGAATACTTTGAGTGGGTTGCCATTTCCTTCTACAGGGGATCTTCCCAACCCAGGGATGGAACCCAAGTCTCCCGCATTGGCAGGCGGATTCTATACCGCTGAGCCACCAGGGTCATAAATGGACCCTTCTCATAAATGGACCATCTTTAATAGCAATGAACTAAGTTCAAAGTTCAAATCAGGAATCAGGAACACAAAAGATATGGTGTACATGAAAGGTTCATGGTAATTTCAGAAAATCAACCAAAAAGCCCCAAAGAGCTTTTGATGTTTTGTTGCATCTTTTTGTTTGTTTGTCTGGGGGATGGCATTGGTTAGGGACACATTTGGCATTATTAATTTGGGGGACAAAAGGATGGGTTTTAATCCAAAAATAATCTTGAAAAGTTACCTGGTAGGGAATGTAGAGTCATATGCAAAGCTGAGAAGCTCCTGAGGATAGCCAATGGAAACTAATCTCTCCACGGTAAGCTCAAAGCCAAGGGACTCATACTCCGGGGACTTGTACACTGCACAAAGAGGAGGTTCTCATTAAAACACAGCCAATTAAAATGGAAGGCAAACGAGTGAATTTCAACTTTCCCAATTCCTCTCTCCTACTAAATTTGCCATTTTTCTTCTTTTCCTTCAAACTCCATGTTTTGTACTGCCTCAGGTAATTGCAGAACTCAACTGTTAGTCCGTGGAAACAGGTCATGTTATGACAGGAATAGCAGCAATAAGATGAATTATCAGGCATTCCATGTTTCTTCATTCTTAGGAAACCTAATCCAATCATTTTTTTCCTTTTTATTCTCTTAGGCCCACAATCTAAAGTTGGGAGGCGGGGAATGTAATAGGCACAGCTGTGGTATTAACCATGGGAATATAATTAATATAAAACTAGAGAGGCAGGTCTATATAAGTTGAAGTCCTCACTGATGTGCATGACTGGTATAGGAATCCTTCAAAACTATTTTTTTTTAAAAAAGACTAGTCTACTTTTAGAATTACTATCTGGCTTAGGAATTGCCTTAAACTCCAACCAGCATAATTCTATTTGTTAGGATTTACGTGTTTTCTTTATCAGTCCTAAAATGTCATAGCCATCAAAACTGTATTTTACAAATTATTAGTGCTAAAAGTACCATAAAAAGACATGCCTAAGACAGGGAAGTCTTGATATGAATTAGGAATCAGACACTGAAGAATTATAACTCATTTTATTAGACCTGATTATGGAAAAATGAATATGTGCACGTATATATAATGTTATATATATACACCTCCTTATCTGCCAGAGAACAATGAGTTTTTTACAGGTGAGGTAAAATAGATTTTGGAATATGGGGGTTTCTCTCAAATATAACGTATGTCTGAAGTTTTCTATAATGAAAAACCTTTTTCAGAATCATCACAGTTCAGTATAAAGAAAATGTTGCTCCTTTAAACGGGTTTCTTCCAAAATAAAGGATGTAGGTAGACATTCTTCCATCAGTTTTCTAGGAGCAGGTAAGCCATATTAAAAACTTAAAAATAAAAAACACCTGTGATCTTGCTAACTGCCAAATGAGGCCAAAAAAACTCCCCAAACATCCTATTCTTATGTATCATAATAATGAAACTATTATTATAGTTCTATCTACAATTAACATATAGCTTATGGCTCAGATGGACTCTTCATTGTAATTAGTCTGCCTATCCAAGTTAGAGCTAATATTTTAATGAGTATGATTCAACTTTCCCTTTCCGAAAACAATCCTTTAGAATATTTCTGGAAATACATAAAACAGTAATACTGGTTGCCTCCAGACGGGAGCTGAGTAGCTAAGAGATAGGAGAGGAAAAGAGACTTTCATGTACCTTCTTCTGTACCTTTAAAACTTGTAATATGTTAATATATTTATCTATCCTTTTAAAATAGAAATTTTTAAAAACAAGGTGAGCTTTCAAAATCCTTCAATAAACATCTGTCATATTAAAAAGCCTACAAATTTTAAAGTCCTTTAGGAGATGCTTAAGTCTCAGCTCACAAGAAAAATGCCAAAAGAAGCTGTCATTTCTTCTGTGGAATGATGATTTCATGCCTAAGGTAACTCTGGCTAACATTTTCAAAACTGGCTATATTTTTCTCCTCCTCTCAATTTCAGCACCACCCTCACCCATCCCTCCCCCCAAAAACCTTTTAAATCCTCAGGCGTGGAAGATGCACACTGTTGTAAAGGAAGTGCTGTGTATATACACATGCGAACAGAATAAGAGCCGGTGCATTATCATAAAAACTAGGAAAGCATGGCATCCGTTGATGTCAATTTGAATTATTTTGAGAATATAAAATAATATTTCACTCCTCGAGCTTCTGCCTCAACTGAAAGTAAATTTCATTTTAACAAGATTTTCACAAAACAAAGATTACTTCTCAATCCTAACAAAGCCCCACTTACTTCAAACAACATTTTACTTAATGGAACAAAATTCCTGTATAGCAAAATCATTTGGATAATCCACTGACACTTATTCTCATAGGATTTGCCCCATATAAAATGTTTTCAATTATTAAATTTTCATAAAGATAATCTGCTGGATATACCTTAAGAATGGGAGATAGAAACAAAAGTTAATCATCCCCACTGATTACCTCTAAATGAACAATTTTCCCTAGTTAGAGAAGTGATGAAGTAAGTAATATTCATTAAAATCTATTTCTATGAGGCAATTTGGACTGAAACCCAAATCAATTTATTGAGAATTTTTAGTGAAAAAAAAAAAAAATGTGGGAGGCTAGAGAACACAATTTCCCATTCTGCCACCATGAGGAATAGAATAGCAGAAAGTAAACACTATACTCCTGTCATGTTTGCGTTTATTCCAGGGAAGAACCTCCAAATGATTGTCTAGAAACTCCATCTACTGAAGTAAATACTTCAAATTTCCTTTCTCTCAATGAGTTTAGGATGCTTCCAAAAAATACAGTTTTCCCCAATTGCTTTTAAAGTTGCATGACAAGTACAAACATCAGCTGAAGCCAGAATTTAGGTTTTCCTGAGTCTCATCCAAAGCTTCTCATGGAGGCATACAGTGCCACTATTAAAAATGAATTTCTAGATTGCGCAGGCCATCAAAGTTTAGGCTTGGGTGTTGAAACACACTACTCTCCCTCCAGTTTCTTTCAACTAGTCCAAAATAAACTGTTCTATTCACAGATGGGAATGGATTTAGCAAAGAGAGTCCAAGATCCACTCTGACAACACTATCTGTTTCACTAAGCTCTATGTTAATCAGTAAGACCTACAAGCTATTGACATTTTCTCATAAGCTTCCTGGATAATCATTTCAGTAACACGAACTCCCAAGTCATTAAATCATCTGCTAGAGAACTATACACTACAACCAGGGCTGGAGAAGCAGAACTGCAGCTGCACAGAGCATGAATCTAGATGTTTGGTTCTAAGTGTCCCCTGAGAATAATTACAATCTGTTCTGACCTGGTGGCAAAAATGACTACTCTTGAAGCCTACATATCATGGCTCAAATGAATAAATAAATAAAAAGCAAAATTCCTTTTTCAGTCAACCAGGCACTTCAAAGCCAGCCTTGACATCTGTGGCCAACCATATGTATCACCTCAGACTTACAGCTCCATATGCCTCTCTACAGCTGCAAAGGGTCTAATTTCAACTCCTCTGGCAAAACTGGCAAGTAAACGATGCACAGCTTCAAACTCAGTTCTCATAACTGACTTTCCAAAACACAGCCAATAACTTCAGGCGTAAACATAGCCTTACACATACATTGCTTATTTCTTCTTCAAGAAGGTCCTCAGGCCTATCCTAATTTACCCAATATCCAGAGACAAAGGAAGAGGTTATTTTAAGGGCCAGAGTCCAAAAAGGAGGCCTGCTTCAGGCACCAGGGCAGCACACAGTGTTCTCAGGTTACGTAACCAGACTATAAAGAGAACAACCAAAGCTTTGAGAGCTGAAGCTACTGAGAGCATTTGAAGATATTCTTTACTCCATAATCTGTGAGAGACAAAAACAGTTCTTCCAGAAGTATCAACTGCCTGTTGTGGGGATGAAAGCTGTGGGCTCTGTTTTGAGTAGATTTTGTTCATACAAGACACAATCTGTATTAGAGGAGACAGTCCCTTTGGATGAGCCAAAAACTTTCTGCAGGGAAGTCTGGGACTCTCATGCACTTTTTACCTTTGCCACCAAGACACACTGCGATAGTTCAGAGATTTTAGAAAAAAGGAAGGGCACACCTCTACAGAGGTCCCAGCCTAGCAGAATGCTGCTGCCAAAATGAGAACTCACATGAGGCAGACGCAGACGCGGAGTGTGCCACTCCAGTCTTGAAGGAGTCACACTGGCTCTCCTGTTAAAAAACAAAACAAAGCAACAAAACAAAACAAAAACAAAAACTGGTTTTAACACTGTTGTGATGGGCTGGAACAGAGAGATACCATTTGGAAATTGGTATTAATAGGAGTTACTGCCTCCTATTTAGAAGCCTCTGACCATCACTAAAATTCATCTAATTAGCCATAACAAGAGTATTGAAGATAAGCTTAAGTATTATACATTATTTAACTTTTCTTATACCCTAAGCCTAGAATACAAGCCTGATCCTGAAATGTTAAGTCAAAAGACAAATAGAAAAATAAACTTCTTTTGTCTTAGTTTATTTTTTCTGCCACATTTCAGGTTTTATGACAAAAACTGAATGCAACTGGTAAACAGTTTAATTGAACTACAGTAGGTGAAACAGACTAATAAAGAATACAAGAATAAACCAGAGCAGTCTCATCTCACTTTTAAGTGCTCATTTAAACAAAGTCTGCTTGTACCTAACAACCCACTTTTCTACCCTTCCAGCACCTAAATTTGTAATCTTGATACAGGTAAGAACCAACTTTCCCTATTAAAGATCTAACTAGATGTCCAAATATGGAACAGAAGGGAATTTTTTTTTTATTCTGTGAATGGATATTTGCCCTTGGTAAATGGAGTCATATTATTCTATTTTTTAAAAGTTAAAGAAACTAACTAGTCTAGTAAAATAACTGACTTGAAGATACATAAATCTTTTAAAGATATTGATAAATTTAGGATATGAATTATGTGTAAGTTATAGGGTGTTTTTCCTGGAGACATTTAGGTTTTTGAAAACATATATTTAGATTCCTCCAACTTCTGTATTTTTTGTGAAAGGGAGATGGTACTAATTGGAAGAGCAAAATGACCAAATACAATGTTGAAAATTTCTAAAACTATTACAACTAGGAGAAATGAATACTACCAATCATACTATGAAAAGAAAAAATCCAACACAACCACTCAAGAACAGTTATTTGCTTTTATGCTATAAATGTGATCAACATCAACATTCTTTATTTAGGCTACATGATCTTGGTTCTCTGAGCTAACTAGGAAAGGTAATAATTCACATTTTCATTAAGGAAACTTTAAATTAAATCTATCCATTCTCATATAAACAAATACCAGAGGGCCTTTTCTATTTTTCACAA